TTTTTTTTTTTTTTTTTTTTTTTTTTTTTTTTTTTTTTTTTTTTTTTTTTTTTTTTTTTTTCTTAAAGATAAAAGCTATTTTGACTTTTCTAAAGTGTCCTTTTTTTTTTATTATAATATTTATTTGTGATTTTTTTTTATCTTTAATTTTGTCGTGACATGATATACTTTATAATATAGCATAATTTATGTAACATAATATCTGACATCATAACAAAAACATAACATCGCATACATCAAGCGACCATAAATTCAAGACACGTGTAGGAGCCACATCGTTCGAACAACAATCAAGTCACCCAACAGTAAAGCCTCTAACTTATTTTGTTGAGAATATAAAAAAGGATTCATCATTTCAATGTATAGTTACGTCCACTCAAAAAATCTCATCTCATTGATATCGACCGAAAATATTAGAATCAACATACACAAACACTTGACGACCAGCTGCATCCATCTCGTCAAAATCCATTGCACATATTGAATTCAACAGATATTTATAGTCAAAGTGATGTATTCGTCAAAAAAAAAAAAAGGATGAGATAGGAATTTATTAAAATTGTAGACGAAGTATTTCATATTACCAAAAAGCATGGGAAGAACGTCTATTTTCCTAGATTATGAAAAACTTAAAAAATTCTTATGAAAATTAATGTCTACTTTTTAGTAAAGCTTATAAAAAAAACTTTAAAATAAGTATCTTTTACCATGTTATACAAAAACGTTTTAACCCCGTTTATATTCAAGTTTTATCCAACATTATCAAGAACGTTGGAAAAATGTCTAATTTTTCTTAAGGTTATCTAAATTTCATGTTTAGGATTCTGATCAAGATTTGAAATTTGGATTAGCCACCTTCTAATGGTCTCGACAATCTCCTGCGACATGGTCACGTTACTTACTTCTTGCTTTTAAGGGTGAAGACTATTCTCACAAACCAACATGAGTCCTTTTATCATGCTTCGTCCTCACTCAAAAGCATTCTAGGAAAATTCTCAAGAGGTCATCCAACATAGAATTTCCTATGATTGTGCACGTTATTGGTATAGGTAGGAACGTTCATTTCTTTTAAGTCTTTCTTAATCATCCTTTTCTCAAGATCTCTCTCATTCAAATGTGGTCACTGTTCATGCATACACCCCTCCTTTACGTGAGGATTCTCTCTTTCTATTATCACAGCAGCAATAGAAAATCTTACTCCCACGAACTTTGGCCATTCACTTTTTCCTATTCAAAATATATCTCGGTGCTAAATTTGCTAATACACATAATTCTACACAAAACATAGAATCCAACAAACAACCACAAAATCATAGTTCTAAAATTTCAAAATAAGCATAAATTTTATAAAAACATAGAAAATAAACTAAAAAACTTACATTAATATAAATTTGAAATAAAGAGACTAAATCATTATACGATAAAGTTCATAAACTAAATCGTTACTTATCGAATACATTTGAGTAAGTGATAGGAAGAACATACTAAGAGGACACAAATCAGACATTTTGTTGAATGTTTTGGTTTGTTATACGTAGATGCTTAGCTTACAATTTCGAGTTGATGGAATTGGTTAGTTGAATACTTTGTTCTTATTCTTAAATTTATTTTATTTTCAAAGTCATATTTTTTTTTAAAGATTTTGTTCTTTTCTCGGGATTTGGATCATATTAATTTATTTATTATAAACGTTAAAATGCATGTTGATTTTTCTTTTTAATGTGTAACAACCCAAAATTTTCTACTTAATTTAAGGTCGCTATTGTATACGTACCATAAACATTGAATGCGGAAGACTTCATTTAAATTCCATAAAACATAACCTTTAACTTAAAACACAACCATGGACTTATGTGTTTCGAAAACATCTTTAAAACGACACAACGAAAGACCCGAAATAAAATAAATAAGCGTTTAAGTTTAAAACATCCTATTCTATCCTAAGTCTAAGAAAATAAATACCACTATCCTAAGCATGTGTCATGATCTCGAGTTGCGATGCCATCGTCAGCCGTACAGGAATGTCTTGCCTTAACCTGAAAAATGTAATAGCACATGGCTTGAGTATTTAAAAAAATACTCAGTAAGTAACCCCACTATTGGGGTTAAATACAACAATCACATGCAATGAAATGATGGGACCTATCTTTCGTTTCGTTTCGTTTCGTTTTTCCTACGGTGCTGTTCTAACGGGTAATTGTGGACGTGTAACATATACTCTACACACAGCCCATACGTGCGAGTATGGGCTCACCAGCTAGTTCGCACACCACTGGGCCACTGTCCTTATCCGGTGGGCATACTCTGGGAGCCCCTTATGCTGGGACCCGTTAAAACTAGAACCGTCACGGCAGCGCTATGCAATGTATAACGATCGTTGTCCTGCCATTGGATGTACGCGTCCATACCCTCGTGATGAGATGGGGGTATCCCCCAGATGCATGAACACACATAATGCATGAAGTCCCCCTATTTCTACATTATCTTTAATGACCATAACCCCCTGTCACGTTCCAGGCTTCATGTCATTCTCATTTTCATTTCACATTTCATATACATTTCTATCGGGGTTATGGTTCCAGATAGTTTACCGTGTTTCATGTCATACAATTCATGCTGTTCACATTCACATATTTCATACAAGCATGCCATAATCATTCAAGGACCTCATATCATTACATGCATTACACATCACATCAGACTAAAAGCATACATAGCATACATTCATATTCACATAACTACGTACTTAAGCACAATAATCTAGCATACAATGTATCATATGATAAACAAGTCATAACGTAAACACTTCATAGTCATATCGTTCTCTAACTTACCATAGTCTTAACGTTCTTATACCTATCACAGACATATCATTACGTAACGTACCTTAGTCATATCGTCACAAGAACATACCATAACGCTATCGTTCTATCAATCTATCACAAACATATCCCTTTCTACCCATAACCTAACCGTATTCTTTCATCAATCTCTTCTATCCATAGCACTTCGGTATGTAACCTAACCTTAACGTTTCATGAACTTATCTTACTCCTATCGTTACATTTCGTTTTGTGCATCCTTCTCGTATCCTATCTCAAACATATCCTTGAGCACATTGTACCATAATTATTATCATACAAACCACATATTATAACATAACATAACATATAGGAAGCATATCGATCCACAGACAATTCACACATCAATATATATGACACGTGCAGAACCACAGGGCACGTGCCAACATCAAATATAACAATGCGGATAATAAGGTCACTTACCTGGCTAGCTTAAGTCGTAGTCACGAATATATCTTTAATGAAAGTTCGATTCCGTCCTTTGAAATTCAGGTCAACCTATATGAGCCCATGACATTAGTTTCAAGTTGGAACTCTACAACATTATTTCTCTAATTTACATTGGTCATCCTAAAATTATGATATTTATTGTCAGACAAAATTTAATGGACTTGATTGCCCTCTAATATTTACTATTTTATTGCTAAATTATATTCAACAAATCTTTCTTCCATCCCCTCCCGGTAATTATTTTCATATGAAAATAGATTTTCAATTGTGTAAACAGATATTATTGGCCAATATTAAGTCGATTGTTTGCTTCAAGTTTATAGGTCTGTCTGGCTATTATCTTCAAGTTTATAGATCTGTCGACTAAAATTTTATTGAATCTAATCTTATTTTCTAACTTAAAATGCTAACAAAAATCTAATCAATTGGATATGGGATCTGATAATTACTAGGATCGGGTAAAATATATAAGAAATTTTATTCCAAATTAATTTCTTATAACCATAACTAGTAAGGAATAAGAAATCTGAGATAGAATTTTCCCGTAATAACAGACAAAAATAATGTTGAAAGCCATTTTACTTCTCAAATCTGACCATGTTGTTTTTCTGTTCTTTCTGCCTTCCCTCTGGCGTAAGGATGGGTTGGGGAGAGATAATCGTGAGAAGGGATGAGAGGTTAGTGGAGAGAAATGGGGAAAGCTTGTTTTTTTTTTTCTAATTTATTTATTTATTTATTTCTTATTATTATTATTTTAACAATTTTTATAATTATTTTTATTTATTTTTGGGCTATTAGATAATGTATCACTCAAACATAAAAGAATGCATCATTTCAATGTATAGATCAATTGCATATATTGATATATCCGGCACAGTCACATCTCATCTCGTCAATATCAATGGTATTTATCGAAATCAACACACTTACCGTAGAAAAGATACATCCCATAAAAAAAAATGTAAAATAGGACTTTCGTAAAAATGTATATAAATGAAGAGAATACAAAATAATTTCTTTCGTATCTTCGTACATACATGCATAGCATCGAAAGAACGTGTGCTCTTTATCTAAGAATATCGAACCCTTCCTAATATCATAAAAAATCTTTGAAACAAACTTTTGATTTTTGGAAAACAATTTTGATTAAGTTGAAAAGTGGAGAGTTGGCATCCACATGAGGTCCTTCACTTTATTTTATCATTTCACTTGAAGGGCTCATGACAGTTGGATACACTCTCGACGCCTCAAGGCCGGCATTTAGACGGATCCGACTTGGGTCTAATATGCTAGGACTCTTTTCTTCTCGTTTTAATGGAAATGTTTAGGATCTTTTTCTTGCTTGACGGTCTGGTGGCAGAAGTAAGGTTAAAAAGGACAACAACAAACCTATTGATGAGATGAAAAGACATTAATCGAGTATCGAAAAGTTCATTTATCATTTTAACTTCTTTGTTAATGGTTTGAAAATTATACCAAAACCAAAGGGTTAAGCAAAATATCCTAACATCCAAAAACTAACACGAAATCTCAAACGAGTCATCGAAAGCACACGATGAAAAAGTACTATCGTCAATATTTTCAATTTCATAATAAGGAAAGTTAAATACGGATCAATTTGTCACTTCCTCTAACGAAAAGAAAAAACGCGTCTAAAATAATTTTTTCGGTCATTTTTTTATCGTTTTTCAAATTGGCATTGTCGACAAGTTCTGAAAAAACTCCTTTATCGTTTCGATCTCTTTTGTCTAGTGCTCGGAGATTATCAAACCTAAAACCTAGAATATAAAAAGGAGAAAAATGATGAGTTATGGTCAATATTTTTCAATTTCACGGCGGAAATGTTAAACATAGATAAATTGCAAAGAAAAAAAACGCATCTGAGAAGATTTCCCTCAGGCTAGACCCGTTAGTGTTTTAAATTTATTTTTTCAACTTTTGAATTTTCGAAGCTTTAAAAGCATTTTCAAATATTTACATTACGTAACATTTTCATATCAAAGTCGATACGTGAAATAGTGTTGTAATGACCTGGTTCATAATTTTACCTAATTTTCGTGGAATTAATGCAATGAATTAGCTCACTAAGTTTAACCTACATTATTAATATCGGTACTTAAATACTCCCTTATTAGTACTTTCATATACGTTATTTATCTATTTATTTATTTATATATATATATTTATCCAATTTTAGGGACTAAAACAACAATGTCATTATGATCGACTTCAACCCGAACTCGAAAAGGATTTAAAGTCAAATCTTTTGGACTCCTAAATCGAATCTTTTGTGCTTTGACAAGAGGATTCTCCTTTTCTATTATCTCGGCAACGACAGAGAATTCTACTCCCACAAGCTCTAGCCATACTTTTTTTTCCTATTTAAAACACATATTCCGGGACACATTACTTATAAGTAAGAATTCATAGAGATACTTGGTTCTATTTAAAATGAATTATAAATCATTTTAAAAATATCATTAAATTATAAACTAACAATTATGACATGATGACGAGAAAATGAAAAAACCACTAGAATTTAATGAAAAACTATGTGCATTACAAAATTCTATTCAAAAAATGCGAAAGTTAAATTTATAATTGGTATAGTGAAGATCATAGAAATCTAAGGAAAGGTAATAAAATCATCCAAGCATAAATTTCAAAAATATAAAATTTGGAAAAAAAAGAACCCGAAGCTAAAAGTTGTAAGCTAGGAAGATTTCAAACAAACTATAATAAAGAGACTTAAATCGTTACAGATATGAAATTAAAAAAACGAAATCGTTATATAAAAAAATTGTATCAACTAAGTCGTCGTTAATCGAACAGTTTTGAAATTCCAATTTGTAAAAAATAATGCTCGATAGTTTTGAAATCACACATTTTGTCGAATAGTTGTTGAATTTGTGGGGTCAAATGGTTTTGTCTCCTATGGTGCAACGTTTCAGAACCACTGCTAGTAGATATTGTCCTCTTTAGACTTTCCCTTTCGAGCTTCCCCTCAAAATTTTAAAACGCGTCTGTTACGGGCAAGTTTCCACACCCTTGTAAATGGTGGTTTGTTCTCCTCCCCAACCAAGGACATCACATCCAGCTTTTATTCCTAAATTTGTTTTAGTTTGAAATTATTTATTATAAACATAAACATACATATATGTTTATTTTCCTTTTATACATGTATCGCTTCAGTCTACATGTGACAATCGAAAATTAGAAAAATAAAATAAATAACGTTTATGACTACTTTTATTTAAAATAGATTTTTCAAACATTTAAAACCATGGTATCATTTATAAACTATTTTAAATGAATTTTTCTGCACATATTACACATCCTAGATGCAATGACGGTCTTATTTTCAATGGAAAAATAGGGACATAGAGAGTATCAATTAGATCAACAAACACAAAAATACGATAGCTCACATCCAATATAATACCGTATGAAGGGATACATCCAATCACAAAAGAGTAAATTATGAATTTACTAATAAAAAAACTTTTTAACCATGCTTATCTTCAACTTTTTATCAAAGATTATTAAAAACGCTTGAAAAATGTTTTTTTTTAGTTATCAAAAAAATTTGAAAATTATCAACATTTTACAAAAATATATATATATATATATATATATATATATATATCTTCTTAGAACTTTAGAAATATAAATTTCAATATGATTTTTGCAAATTAAAACCTAAAATAGAATAATAACACCTTAGGAGCCAAATTAAAGTATATACTTTAAAATGTTTGAGCTGACTACATATACAAAAGAAAATTTGATCATCTCGCTCATCTCCTCACTAAATAATAAAAAAATTCTCTCTCGGCTTCGCCCTCTCTAAATTCATAAAAATTTTCATTCAAGAGACTCCCACCGAGTCTTGGTCCTGTGTTTGAATCCTAACCACGAAGATACCAACCATTTCATTTATAACTTCTGCAACATGTTTACCTGAAAAACAATTTCTTTTTCTTATTTCCAAAATAAAGAAAAAGAAAACAATATCCCTCAAAGGTTCAAATGCAGCACCAAACTATATCCAAAAAATTATATATATACCAATGCACTGTATATAAATTAAACAACATTTGCCTATATGCTAACACTTCTCTATAGACTCTGATTTTGGCATGTAAGAATATTGTTGTTTCTTACGAGAAAGAATCAGTACAGAAATTCTTACATTTGTGCAACTCTTCTTGTCTGCCGCCGGTCTTTGAAAAGAACATTTGCTGAGAAATTCAAGCGTAGTGGCAGACGTTTTTAATATAATGCTGACAAATTTACTAGAGGCTTCCTCTCATCTGTCATGCAAACGAAAATCTTGAGAAAAGAGAACGAGCAGATCCTGACGAATCACCAGCAGGGCTCGGAGGACCATCGGTCGAGCTGCGATACGCTTGTTGACATTTTTGCATCTGCACAAGCAAATCAACCCAAAATTATTCACCATAGTTGAGCTTTTTTTTTAGTATTACAAGTGGGGATGAGAATTTGAACCTCCACCCTGAAAGGTGTACATGTTAATTATGGTTGGCTTATGCTCGCTTTGACACTACAAGACTAATAAACCGAACCGAGCATGTTGATAATTCGCAAACATAGTTCTATTCCTATTATTTAGTTGATCCATACAAGGCCTAACAATGGTTTTCCTTCTTTCCATGGGTTCTTTGGACTGGCTCTATATGTTTGGCTACAATTAAGAAAGTAGAACACAATATCTACTACGGATTCACAGGATAGAGAAGAGTAGAGAGTGAATATACAACCTCTTCTGGGCTAAACTGGAGGAGCATGGCAACCACAGGTAGCAGAGCTTCTACTTCACCTAATTAAAAATAAATTTGAGGATAAGGAGATGTTCTCAGGATATAAAATAAAGCACAGCCTAATATTACTCAATCTTTAAACCAATAAATTGAAACGAGGACGTTAATTGAAAACGATTGGCTTTATCAAAGTAGGACCCTAGAAAAACTTCTACTATACCGGTTTCGAGGAGCTTCAAGATGACATTCTTCAGATACGTCATGTCAACACCCTCCCTCTTCTGTGATCTTTCCATATCACGAAGCTCAGCCTTCAGCATTGCTTGCTGCACCCATGAGATAATGTTAAAATTTCACACCAAAAATGTTGGTAGTTGATCTACTATGGTATGACTTCACATATCAGGCCGAACATGGCTTTCTTAAATAAAAATAGATTAAGAACTTAAAAGGTTTTAACATCTTGGAAATTGGCTCCATTGGAACTTAATTTTACCTGTTGGCTATGCAGACGATTCTCACGTTCGAGCTCCTCAAGTTCTTCCTATAAATTGCAGAATTGTTAGACTCTGCCATCTAGAACGTGAAATACATATCACAATCAGTGAATCATACTTGAAGAGCTAAAATATGCCGCTGTGATTGGGCTAGTTGCTCTTCTCTCTGAGCCTGCTGCCTTGCTAAAATCTGAATAAAAAATGAAAACGGGAAACTATCACAAACAGGTTCTAGATGTTTTAGATCAAGCTGCCAGCACAGTAAAACATCAAGAAGATTATTGTTTTTTATTATTATTATTATTATTTATTAAAAAAATAATAATACATAAATAAAGGAGATAGACTTCAGAATAAGATGTTAACTTTCATCTCTAACATTGTTTTGAGATCCCACATGGGTTGGAGAGTGAAACGAAACATTCTTTATAAGGGTGTGGAAATCTCTCCCTAGTATACGCGTTTTAAAAACCTTGAGGGAAAGCCCGAAAGGGAAAGCCCAAAGAGAATAATATCTACTAGCGGTGGGCTTGGGCCGTTACAAATGGTGTCAGAGCCAGACACCGGGCAATGTACCAACGAAGAGGTTGAGCCCAGTAGGGGAGTGGACATAAGGCAATGTGCCAGCAAGGACGCTGGGCCCCGAAGGGGATAGATTGTGAAATCCCACATGGGTTGGAGAGGGGAACGAAACATTCTTTATAAGGACGTGGAAACCTCTCCCTAACAAACGCGTTTTAAAAACCGTGAGGGGAAGCCCAAAAGGAAAAGCCCACACCCTTATAAAGGGTGTTTTGTTCTCCTCCCCAACCAGTGTAGAACATCACAATAATTGTAACGACCCAGGCCCACCGCTAGGAAAAGCCAAAGAGGACAATATCTGCTAGCGGTGGATCTGGGCTGTTACAATTATTGTTAACATGTCGTAGAAAAAGGTGACTAGATTTGATAATCAAACCATGCAAACTAATTTTTTTCTTATTCATGAGATTGGAGAGCCGAATCTCTAATTTTTTAGAAACAACAAAAAAAGATATTAAAAACAACTATAAGTTGCAAGCAACACGTTTTTATGAGAAAGAATGTTGTACATACCAGAATCTGTTGTTCTGCATTGGAGGCACTCAAATTTGACGAGTCCTGTTTTTGAGTGACTGATACCAGTAGAAGAAAAAGAACGTTAGGATGCCAATGGTCTGTTCTAGTCTATTGTCCAAGTTCATTCAGTTCTAATAGTATCAAATGCAAGCAGCAAATGAATAGGGAAACAAAAAAGTTTTCCTACCTGCAGTATTACCAACTTGACCTGCCTGAACGATGATACAACAGATGGATCAGTAATGAGTAAAGAAAACACTAGATAAAAAGTTTTCAAGGAATTGCAACCAAAAGGAGTAGAAATTAAACATACGGGAGGTTTTGATTCCAAAGATCGTCGAAGATTCTTGTTATCATCTAAAAGCCTAGAAATTTCTGTATCCTTTTCCTCGATCATTCTATCAGCAAGATCACGGAATGAATTATGCTCTTCCTACAGATTACACAACAAAGTAAAATCTTGAGGATAAATTATTTTAGCACAAGGCACAAAACAAGAGAAGAAAAAATATATATATATACTTGCCTTCAATCTTTTGTACCCTTGTTTCAGCTCCTCAAATTCCTTTTCTACATCTTGCCTAGAGGATTCTTCAAACTGAGATTTCAGTGCTTCACATCTAACTGCTCATAAGATATTGTAGAAAATTATATTCTTTGCAACAACTTATCTATCGCTCTGTAAAGAAAAAGGCAAGAATCACTATTTCATTCAAACTACAGATATTACTTCGCCATGATTCCTCCAAGTTTTGGAGGCTTTGTTCCCAAGCTTCCTTTTCAGAATGAAGGTGCAAATTAGCAGATTCAAGCCTCTTTTCTAGGCTCTTAATATTTTGCTCAGCGTCATTGAGGGTTGAATCTCTGTCAGAGGTGAAAATAAGAAGTTATCCTTAAAAAGAATACTGCCAATTACTCAATTCATAAAAGGGGAAATGATTTATAGAACTTCAGGAGGAAAATTCTTAAGGAAATAAAGAATGGAACCATTTGCAAACACAACTAACTAGCCACTTTGGCTACTAGACCTCACAGTGGTTAAGCAAAACATAAATCTAACGGCCATTAGATATCTAAATTAAATGTAATGACAAAACATGGCCATGATAAGAAAACATTGTTTGCCTGCCAAGGAATCTTTTTCACCTAAAACTACCATGGAATGTTCATGATTTTTTATGCAAAAAACGGACTTTTATTGAAAAACATATGAAAGAAATTGGATCACACTCCATAACATTCACACGTTCCATTTAACTAATCTATAATTCTAGGTTTTAACAAACAAATAAGATCCGAAGAGAATTATTCTATAAACGACCCTATTTTTTTATCCTAAAATAAAGTCGCCACCACGTACATGACATGGTTCTAAATGTAGAAACCTTCGTTTAAAAGTAGTTCATAAATGATGTCATAGACTTAAACATTCAAAATAAAATCCTTAATGCAAAACAACAGAAAATAAATAACGTGAAATTTAAATAAAATAAAGAAAAGAATAAACCAATGCTCTAACCTAAGGGCTACAAAATAGACATAAATGCAGCTGCCCTAACACTAGTTCCATGGTCTTCATCACAACGCCGCCATCATCCATACAGGGGTGTCTTGCCTTTATTTGAAATATAAGAGTAGCATATGGCTTGAGTATTTTAAGAAATATACCGCAAGTAACCTCACTATTGAATTCGAAAAATGCAAATACATGCAAGAGGGTGGAACCTATCCTTTTAACATATCATAGCACGGCCTTAGACTAAGCTGCCAAAGGATATGCTATGATATGTTAAAAGGATAGGTCCCACCATGTTACATGTGTTTGTATTTTCCAACCCCAATAGCGGGGTTACTTTCTGAGTATTTCTTAAAATACTCAAGTCATGTGCTACTTCTACATTTCAAGTAAAAGTAAGGCACCTGTACAGATGACGGCAGCGTCATGACGAAAGTTATGGAACCAGTGTTAGGGTAGCTGCATTTATGTCTATTTTATAGCCCTTAGGTTAGATTATAACATTGTTTTATTCTTTTTCTTTATTTTATTTAAATTTCAAAGTTATTTATTTTCCGTTGTTTTGTTTTAAGGATTTTATTTTGAACAGTTAAGTCCATGGTATTATTTATGAACTATTTTAAAAGAAGGTTTCTGTATGTTACAATCATATCATGCATGTGGTAGCAACTTTATTTTAGTATAAAAAAAAATAGGGTTGTTACACTTGGTATCAGAGCAATACCTCTCCCAATAAGATATGGTTCGGGAGCGAACCAAGGCGAAAGTTAGTGAGCATGTGACACCCGAATAAAGAAGGGATGCATGAATGAATCAATACCACATTCACATGAGAGTGATCCTAAGGATAGGATGACTAAGAAAGGCTTAAAGGAAATGAAAGTTACTACCTATACAAAACAAGTTACACCTTCCTTTTCGGTGGCACAATCATAAGAACTCAATGGTTAAGCTTGTTTTTACTTGGAACAATTCTATGTTGGGTGACCTCCTGGGAATTTACCAAAGATGCATGTGAGTGAGGACAGAACATGCTGGAATGACTTGTGTTGGTCTGTGGAGATAGTTTCCACTCTTAAGAAGCAAGAAGTAGGTAATGTAACTATATCGTAGAGGATGCTGGAAAATGTTGAGGTCATTAAGTGTCAAATCCAAATTTCAAATCCTGATCGTCAGGGCATGGGCATTACAATTATTATCTCCCTCCAGGTAAGTGGGTTTATTGCAAACACAACGAAGAGACGGCAGATGGCATTTTATACCATTCCCTGTTGTCTCATTAGTAATGACGGATGTCCAATACATCTTTTAAGTGCCATTTGTTCCCTCTGTTCAAGTTAAGAATTCCATGCATCAAGTCCTTGATATACACCCAAAAGCGAGGCCACAGTCCAACTAAATTAGGACATCCATATGGGAGTTATGGCTAGAAATAATTAAAGAATCTTCATCTAGGAGTATACGCACACTATGCCTATTATCAGTATCAATTTGTTTACTTTCTCCAACTTTTAAATGAAAAAATCAATATAATTACTCTCTCCATTATAAGTGTCAATTGAAGATATTTTTCGTTATTGCTTTTGGTTAAGGTTGGTGGCTCCCATCTTCACATTATAAGTGTCAATTGAAGATATTTTTCGTTATTTGAATACTTAAGGTATCAATTGGTTTGCCCCGCGATTGAGGCATGCAACTAACGTTATTAATTTCTGAAACATTTTTAAATGCTCCAAACATTCAAATCAACCTCCCAAGGTATAACTACTATTAAAGTTGCAGTTTAAATTTGTAATAACCCTCCCGAAGAAGATGGAAAATTAAAGGCAAGAATCTCGAGTATAAGAATACCTTTCTCTGAGTTCTTTTTCATGATTTGCCAAAGCATTTTTTAGTTCTAGCTGAACCCGATCCTTTTCAGCATATGCCAACGTGATTTCCTTTTCAGCTTCCTATAATGCAAAGTTTGATAAGCGAAGCGAGCTCAGGAATCAACATGGATATTGACATCATGTGTTCACCTTAAGCGCTTCCTCGAGGGCTTTAATCTGGTCAGAGTCCACAGCAGCCTCTAACTCTGCTTCCTTCTTCTGAAGAAGTGCATGAGCACGAACCTTGTATGAAGAAAATTCACTTTTAAGGCGATTCATCTGCAAGAATAAAGAAATGTCATCAAGCCAATTTGATTTCAAGTAGGTGTTGAAGGGACTAAAAGATTACTTAAAAATTCATTTATGGAGGATAAAATTAAAATAAAATAAAAAAAAAAGAGAGAGAGAGAGAGAGAGAATTATTTCTATGGCAGCATCTGAAAACTTTGGTAAAATCCTGGTTCCAGGTTTGTTAGATACCATGAATAGACACATTGCTGATAGATTGATGGACTGCCTCACATCAGATGAATTAACAGAAAGAAAGAAAAAAAAAAAAAAAACTACTTTAAGGGATGAAGCATTAGAAGATTATTCCAGTAAATATTGGAGAACAAGCATTAGAAGATTATTTCAGCCCCGTTAAAAGCATAATACAGAGCTCAAGACACCTAGTGGTTTCCTTCGGAGGATGGTGTGAATTTATCTTTTCTTATTTCTTTTTGGGCTAGCAACTTCTCCATAAGATCTGAAATACTACATATGGGGAAGTCCATCCCATAAACAGAACCTACGAAAAGGCATCAAGAGAAAAAAAAACCAATTTTTTTTGGGGACTTCAGCTTTCCAAATGTGCTTGAGTGGATGGGTGGTAGGAGCACCTAGTAGAAAATTATTTTGTAAATAGAGAAGTAACTAACAGCAAGCAACCCCGTCGAGATAAAATGATTAGCAACCATATCAACGTGGCAGCAGCGTCACTATCTAAACTGTAGTTCAAGGAAGAGCTAACAATTAATCATTCTAGTAACGAAACCAAAAATAAGAATTTTAATACAAACCAATAGCAAAGAAATTATAAATCATAAAGAGTATATAAATATAGTAATATAGGTAGAATCTCAGATAATTTGAGGAACCTAGAAGTCTTCTTCTTGAGCAAGCTCATACTTAGAATAGCAACAAAATTGCGAGCCTCAAACCTTACTGCCCTCTTCCATTATTTCTAGCCGCTGTCCATCAACAATTCCTTCTAATATACTGACCCGTTATCTTCTATACCTATCCCTAAACCAAAATAATCGCCAGCCTCATCATCCAGTTCTGTAACACCTTCTTCAACGACTCCAATTAAGTACCCCATTAGTCAAATCGTAGTACTAATCTACAAAGTGTTCCTTCATACAGCTCCACTTCTCCCAGTTATAAATTATTGTCTTAAGGTTTTCCCCAATAAGAAAAAGAATAAATATATAAGTAAATTGGAATAACTAAATGAAACACAGATTCTGGTGGTTGTTAATACCTCCTCTTTGACAGTCAGTAGTTCAGCATCTCTTGCACTCAACATCCGGGTTTTTGCAGAAACTTCCAATTCCAGCTGACCTGTCCAACAACAACGCAATATTTGTCTGTTTCTTTGCTATATTAGAACCATCAACAAAAGTAAAAAAGAATTCTTCTTATACTCCTCATTTTAGCAGCTTCAATTTCAGCACGTATGCAATTGCTCTCAGCGATCTCTAACTTCATTTTAAGTGCCTCCGAGGCGGCTTGCCATGTCTCCTTTTCTTTCTCCTGCAGCATTATACAACTATGATCCTATGATTACAAACCTGAATTTGGACACAGTTGTAAGAGTTCAATCAAAGAGCCTACATTTTCATTTCTGAGGTGAGCAAGCTCTCCTTTTACAGTTTCCACAGTAGCTCTAAGTCTGGCTGCCTCACCACTTGATGCTGCGTCCATCTCTGCAATCTTTGATTCTTTCTCTGCAACTAATTCCTGGAAAATGTGTTCTTAAAATCTTCATTAACAGGCATATATATATATAGATAGAAATATATTAAGATAACTATTACAAACTCAGTTGTAAAAGTTTATAATAGTATAAAGAAAAGGAGAATTATATTGCAACCAGAAATCAACTCTTCTCCTCTTACATTGAAAGCATACTTGATAATAACTGTAATTGTGACAACAAAACTTTATGTCTAATCTATTAATTGAAAGTACAGTTAACACATGGAATAATAAATGTTTTTTTTTTTTTTTTAAACTTCTACTCACACCTTAAAAGCATACTATAAAATCACAATCTTTATGAAAACACCACAGCATAATACTCGGATCTTTACAGATAAGCACCATATACAAATGGAATTTACTATCTTTTAGCACTTTTCTGGAGTAAACCATCCCCACCTTTTTGTAATTATAACATTACTTACCTCGATGCTCATTGTTAAAAAAAATTATTACTACAAATCGTTAGGATCTTTTATTCTTTGTAATCATTTCACCTTACCAATGAAATGCTGTAATCAATTCACCATATCAATAAAATGTTCATTTTTCAAATAAGAAAAACACCACAGCACTCCAAAAGCCTTCAAAACTTGTACCAGTAAAATGAGCTAAACAAAAAGCCTCCAAAAGCCTCTTTGGAGTCCTCTGTCAAAGTATTCAACTCAAGACATCTTCTACCGAAACAAATAAGAAAGATGGACCTATGCCATAGACCTCTATAAAGTTAGAATTTTCTTACCATTTACAGAAAGGCAATTATAAATCCACTAAATCCATGTGGGCACCACAACCCTTATTTTTTAACACCATCACAATAATATCCCGAAATAAAAAATCTCAATCCATTTATCACAAGCCTCCTTCTCCAGGCCCAATTTAAGAAATCAACCTGCCCTTCTCTTCCTCCTCCAATCATCCGCTACTTAGCAATCAAAATGGAATCTAAAGATTATTGCATATTTTGCATTAACTAACTGGAGTGTGGTGCCTGAAATGTAAACTACAATTTGAATTAACTCATACCTGTAGGGAAGAAATAGTTTCTGTAGCTTTATTTCTATCAGATAAAGCATCAGAAAGTTGCATTTGGAAGCTCTCCAAGCTCTGGATGAAAACAAAAAACACAGATGATGATCGGAAGGATAATAGGAGGTATAGAGAAAACATGAATGACAAACATGCCTCACCTTCTGATGTTTTGCAGAAAGGTCAGCTAGTGAAGCTTGCCTTTTATCCTCAGCAGCTTGAAGCATATTCTTCATGTCTTCCAACATCTGAAGCACGCAGAGGGAAACACACCATTGTCAAAATAAACATTTCAAAAGCCCTCCAATTATATCGAAGTAGAGGTAGCAATGACATTTTGGTATTTGATGAATTCATAAACAAGAAGATGAAGTAGAATAATAATAAAGAAAAAACAGTAATTATGAATTTTCAATCAAATACTTAGCATCTTCTTTTTCATAGGATGCATATGCCTTCTAATCAGCCTTTCATTTATTATGATTTCACTTTTAAATTATGAGCTAAAGTACTATTAAAACTTAATGTCCGTTAGATAACTTCAAAAGATGTGAATTTACTAACTAGTTGGGACAGTTTTGGTGGCGTTCCAAGAAAAAGGCACATAGTCTCGGAGATGTGTCCTTTTTGCAATGTGTTGGGCCATTTACTTAGAAAGGAATGAGCATATATGGTAGAACATATTTGATGATCAGGAAATGCTTGGGATGAAGTAGAAAGGAATGAGCATATATGGTAGAACATATTTGATGATCAGGAAATGCTTGGGATGAAGTTTTCATTATTTCCTTTTCTACATTCAGATAAGGTGAATCGAAAAATATTTAAATTTTGGCATAACCATTGCCTCTAAATCTATTGTTACAATTGCTCGATGCAAAGTTATTTTAATCTAAGTTTTACATTGGACAACCTAACTCATGAATGAATCTCAATGACAATGATAATAAAAATGTTGTTCATAACTGGTTTTTGAAAATTCAATTTATTTTTCCACACAACACCAAAAACGGTTATCTGATTCTCAGACATCTTATTCCTAGGCATCTAAAACAAAACCTCCAACCAAACAATCCCTAAAGGGTTTCATTTACCCCTGGGCATAAAATTAGTATACCATTGACCACCATTCAGTTCTTCTTATGAGAAATTGATACATACAATAAAGATATGGTCAAGTGTTAAAAAGATTTAGTATCTTCCTTATACAGCAGAAGTGATGTCAGAAAGCTTCTCAATATAAAGCAGAATCTAATACCTGGTCCTTCTCCGCAAGGGACTGCTGCAATGCCTCAATTGCACTTTCTTTAGGCTGCAATGAGTGTCGCAATTCTTCTATGTTGTCTCGAAGCCTGTTCATGAGTGATGTTGTCCCACACATGGAAAAGAATTACAAAGCATAATACATTTAACTTCCAAAAATTATTGGACTAATAAAATTGGCTCAACAGATAAAGTCAGTGACACCTGGTTCTTATAGAAAATTGGTGCCAATTCTAGAAAAGTTCTGCCCACACTCACTTTATGACTATATCATACTAAATTTAGAAGTAAATTCTAATTTTCTGCCAATATGTATTTGAAGGATCTGAGCACGTTTTCACAATTGAACTCCAAATAGATTATTGATATAGAGACAACAGTCGGGATTCTGACTGAAAGATAGATGGAAAGCATAACGGAAACATGAATAATTAAAAAAAATCATATAGTATCTCATGAAAATAGATCAACTAGCAAAATAATTGGAATAAAGAATCAAAATTTCCCACCCTTCATCATGCAAACAGACACTCAGCCATGAACGGAGAAAGATACTATTTAACATGGTAGTTTTTAAATTCAATCCACGAAGAAAGAAAATTTGTTGAGATTTTACTTATTGTTTGCACTCCTTAATTGTTGTCTCTCTGCATCTATTGCTTTCAATGCTTCATTGGCTTGTTGCCGAGTGCGTTCTATTTCTTGTTGAAGTGCAGTCTGCTGGGATGTTGCACGCTCTGCTCTTTCATTAACATCACGAAATCGAGCCTCAAGTTCATCTTTTTCCTGCAATGTTTAATCAAACCATCAAAACAAACAAGGTGAGCTCTCGCAAAGTGTACACACATGTATGCCATATAAATACATCTTCCTTTCCCCTCCAACCAAGAGAAGAAGGAAGAAGATTGGATGCCACATAACTAAGAAACATTTGCAAGAACCCTTTCCTTTACACTCAAAGTTATTGTTTACTATTCACACATAACAGCAACATAACGAAGTTATTCTTCAGTTTAAAGAAAAGGACATGAGACACGTGTAACGACCTCTTATGACAAAGTTGTAAGATAGATTAAGAATACAACACTTCAGCTTAAACAAATTCTTTGGCCAAAATTATTGTTTTTCTTGCTATATTTCGGTGTAAATGCACTGTTTTTATAGATCATGTTCTCTCACCTCTCTTTTGACCAATTGGAGAAATCTTTTGTAACTCTTTTGGTTTGGGCATCACCCTTCTTTGGTAAATTACACACATCAATGAAATTGTCTTATAATCAAAAAAATAATAACAATAAATGAATAAATAAATCTTGGGCCTGACATAAAGCAACAGTTTCCACCAAAACAGATATAATAAATTGATTTGTTCAAGAAGAAAATTATAGAATATAGATCATGATTTCTACTCACAAAAAGAAATTCCACATTCTAACACAAATCCACTAGATCTTTAATATCCTTTGTTCTCGTTACACTATTGTTTCCATTTGGTTTGGAAAACAGTATTTTGATGAAGAGTCCATCCAATTTGAGGATTTGATCACATCATTGAAGATCGATGTGAAAGATCCTGTGTCAATGGGGAGTTTTTTGGTTCGGAAAACAATATGGATAGCAGATACAACAGGGTACAATTTAATAAGCACAAGGAATACAGCAAACACCTTTTGGATATCTTGAATACGCTGTTTAGCTCGTTTGTGTAGCCTGCTAAATTTTGAGTCCAGGTCAGAATATTTCTCATCACGTTCTTTTATTTCTTGCTCCAACTTCTGTTGAGCTACATAAAGAAAAATTTCTCTGTAATAAAATTAACGCAAAAAAAAAAAGTTCTCACTTTCGAAAACTATAAAACAAAACAAGCAATTACGATTTACAACCTTCCATTTGACCCTTTTTTCCTTCCAAACAGTAACAATTCTCGAAAATTGAACTGATTCTCGAAATAGATAAAGCCTTCTACTTACGAGGTTTCAAAAGAAAAAAATGACACAGCAGATTAAGTGTGGTCAAAGTAGAAATTTTTTTGAACTCCTCATCACTTCTATAAACAAACCAAACCCTTCTAATCATAAGTTCATAACAAAAGATGTAGATCACGGAAGACCAAAAAGATCTGACCTTCGATAAGCTTTGCAGAAAGTTCATTAACTTTTGCATCTGCTTCTGAGTGGGCTTCTTGGAGATGCTGCAGAGCTTGCTCAGCTGCACCTCGTGTCTGCTTTTCCTCCGAAAGTTCTTTACTCAAAGACTCAATTCTTTGTTGAAGTTCTTTCAAAGCAACGCTTTCTCCATCTCTCGAACCAATTTCTTCTTCTCGTTCCGGTACATTCTCAATATTGTGCAGATTTTTCATGCTTTCCAACTGAGACTTTAAGTATTCATTTTGAGATTTCATGTCGATAACCAATTGAACAAGCTCGTCATGATCATCGAAGCATTTGTCGCCATCAGCAAATCTATCTTCCACTACAACACGGCCATTTCCCTGATGGTTCACTCCGGATTTCAGCCCCTCAGGCATTGTCCCCTCTTCCACTCGACTTTCCGGAGTTTCATAAACATCACCTTCCTCCAAAGACATTGTTCCACTACTTAATTTCAGCGGTGAGACCACATCAGAAACAACTCCGTAAGATCTGAATCGAAGGTCAATTAATTGAATTGAAACGCTTTGCACAATTATTCACTCTAGCAGTTTCGTGTTTTCTTATCTGAATCACTGAAATCTTGAACGAAATTCAGATCCTACCTCGTTGCCACACTCGGAAGGCTTCCAAAAGACAACGTCAGACAGAGATCTTTGAATCACAGCGCGTAAATGGAGAATCAATGACCTCGAATCAATAAAGAACGAAAGAAATGACAGCCAAAGATCTACCACAAACGAGACAGGAAGAGAATATTGAGATCGGCGGCAACGATATTGCTATCGAAGAATCTGAGAAGTTAGTAGAAAAAAAATCAGTTGTTCACCACTATTGAAGAATCGGAAACGACCGACGGGCGTCAGCTGAAACGGAATTCTACGGGTTGATCATGCCTCTTGCAGTGAACTTCCCTCCATCTATATTTATACTCACGTGCATTTCACGTGATCATTTTCCAAGCTTTTTCAATTTCACGTTTAATTTCCCCATTTTTTTATAAATCAAATTAAGAAGCTGTACAAATCCAAATAAATTAAATCCTTATTACTAATTAGTAATTATTTTAAAGAAATTTTAAAAAAAAAATCACAATTTCTAGGGGAATTTACGTGTAAAATCCTTTAATTCTGTCATTTTCTATAATCCCAAGCTCCCATTGGGCTAAGGCCCAATTCTCCAGCCCACTTACATTAAGCCCAACCCACTACCCAAGCCCATATTGTCCCGCATAAGGTTCGTGGCTTTGCTTTGGGCTTCCCAAAAGGCCTTATACTAATGGAGAGAGTATTCTTTGACTATAAACCTATGATCATTCCCTAAATTAGCCGATGTGGGACTTTCATAATCCAACACATCCCACTCAACTTCCCCTTCAGCGCCATCGAGTAGGACCGTTTGCGTTTGTATAAGACCACGGCTGCGAGCACAAGAGCCAACACTGTGATAAGTAGAGATAAGCAAGCCACACAGCAACGAGAGACAATATGTTAGTGAAAGCTTTTAAAAATCGAACATAAGTTTTTTTCAACTAACGATAACTAGTTGAAGAGACAACGGGATATATGAAACTAAAATTAGCAAATTTTATTAGAAATATAAAATAGCGTTCTTCAGTGAAATTGATTAGAAATTTAAAACGACATTCCCGTAATCATAAATTATCGTGCCCTTTGGGTCAACGAACTTCTAATTATGCACTATCCGTTCATTTATATTGTACTGTTGGTGTTCAATGCCTTTGCCTTTTCCCTCGCAATAAACTTTTGCACCTTCCCAACTGAATTCATCGGCAAATCACCAAATACAACTCTTTCTGGTATCATAAACTCGGGCAAATGCGTTCTACAAAACTTGACAATCTCTTCAGCGCTCGCTCTACTCCCATTCTTCAACTTGACAAACCCACACAACCTCTCCCCGACCACTGCCGCCTCCGCAACGCTCGGGTGGCTCATCAACACGGCCTCGACCTGCACTGTGCTCACCGCTACCTCCCCATTTGCTCGCACTACAATATCCTTGGCTCTATCCTTCATCTCAATTCTACCGCTCTTGTGTCTAACCCCAACATCGCCAGTCCTGTACCAATCCCCACTAAAAGCCTCACGAGTTGCTTTCAAATTCTTATAATAACCCGACATCAAAGTGTTGCCTCTCAACATTACCTCTCCCAAGGTTTCACCATCTCCTAAAACACTCTCCATCGACAACGGATCTTTCACGTCAATCTCCAATGATGTGATCAAATCTTCAAATTGGACGGTCTCTTCATCAAAATTTGGCTTCCATGGCCTGATCATAGCAGGTCCCATGGCTTCAGTCATGCCATAACCATAGCTTATATTAAAACCCAATTCAGTGACTTTGGTCAGGATTTCATTGATCGGTAATGCACCAGCCACTATGAGATCGACACGTCGCGAAAGCCATGGCTTAAAATTATTGAACGACGATGATTCATAAATCATTTTCAAAAGGGTGGATGGTCCACACAAAAGAGTGACTTTATGAAGTTCGATATTAGTGAATATGGCATCAGTTGTGACATTTCTAAGGCAAATATTGCAGCCTCCTAGAGCCGCCATGGCCCAAATGAAACACCAACCGTTACACCGAAACATGTCCACCGTCCATAGGAACACCGGTGAGGAAGTGTTCTTGCAAATTCCGCTACGAAAAATGGTTGCTAGGGAGTTGAGATACGCGGCTCTATGGCTATAAACAACGCCCTTATGGAGCCCAGTCGAGCCAGAGGTGCAGTTGATGGAAATAGCGTCTAGTTCAGCATTCGTTCTCGGCGTGAAATCGTCAAATCTCATCCCGAGAACTCTGTTGTAGTCGAGGAATTCCGACGGTGGGGTGTCGGGATGGGCGGGGATGAGGACGAGAGCGGGGAATTGGATAGAGTTTCCATAAGTTTGGGAGAGGGATTGGAGGACCGTGGGAAGAAAGTCGGAGTCTAAAAAGATAAGCTTTGGGTGAAGTTGTTGGAGCAGTAAGGACAATGTGGGCGCGTCTAGTTTAGTGTTGAGTGGAGAAATGATGGCTCCAGCCATTGGAACTGCGAAGTGAAGCTCGTACAGCTCCGGGACATTGGGCGCCATTGCTGCAACCTGCACACGCGCTCACTCGCTCCTCCAAATTATCAAATAATTTAATTACACGTGTTAATTTCACAAAAACTATTGCAACCAAATATATATATATTTTTTTTAAAGGCTATTAATTGACTTTAGTTAGTCAACGGTTCCATAATTTTTTTTTTATAAAATCCACTTGATATTAATATAATTTTTATGAATAAATCAAATTAAGTCAACGTTTTCAATTCCCTCCAAGTCAAAAATATATAATAATAATAATAATAACTTTTAAGCATTTAAAAAAATAAAAATAAAAAGTAGTTTTATTTTGCAATTCAAACAAAAAAAAAAATGTCATTAATATTTTAAATATTTTAAACTTTTTTAATTAATTTCCAATAATAACATTTTAGATTTATAATATTGACATTTTCTTATATTATCTAAAAAAAATTGTTTTATTTTAATTCAGACGAAATTATTTTTTTAAAAAAATTAATCTTCAAAGATATCATAAATAAAAATTAGCTTAAAATTTTTAAAATATTATAATAGAATTGAAAAACATTTTATTTGATTAATTTTCACTAATAACATTTTAAATTTATAATATTGACCATTTTCTTATATTATTTTTAAAAAATTATTTTTTAAAAAATTTAGAAGAAATTATTTAATTTTTTAAATAAATAAAAGAATCATCAAGGATATGATAAATAAAAATTTAAAATATTGGAATAGAATTGAAAGATAATAATTAAAATTATATAAATTGTAAAAATAATTAATTAAAATGGAAACAGAGAAAAAAAAAAAAAAAGAAAGAAAGAAAGAGAGAGTACCACGTCACCGGGAGAGACGTGGAAGTGATGAACCAAAGCGGAAGCAAGGTGGAGAGAGCGGCCATAAGTCTCCGACCAAGTGAACACTCGAGAACCGTAAATGACCGAGGGGCGGGCGGCGTAGACGGCGGCGGATTTCTTCAAAAAAGTGACCGGCGAGAGGGGGACAAAATTTGCAGGAGAGGGAGAAAAGGGGTCCATTAAAAGCAGGGGAGATGAGAGGAAGAAGAAGAAGAAGAAGAAGAAGATGAATGAATGAATGTGGAGAGGGAGAAGGGTTAATTTATAATGTTTGTTTGTTTGTTTGTTTGTTTGGAAGATTAAGGATTGTGAGTCATCCGCCATTAAAGAAGAGGAAGGAAGGAATTGAAAATGGGAAGTTGGATGATGTTGGAATACATTATCATTTCCTCAACTTGTGAGTTTTTATACAAAAATTGTTCTCCAATTCTATTTAATCGCATTTCTTTTTCCTCTTTTCTTTCTTACCATTCTCATTTTTGTTCTTATTTTATATCTACTTTCCTCGTTTAATACGCAAATTCACGTTCACGTTCACGTTCACGTTCGTGGCTGCCCTTCGAGCTTCGGTTCAACCCTCATTTTCACTTTGTTCCTCCTTTTCTCGTAGCAACTACTCGCTGCACAATTTTTCTCTTTAGTCTTTCGAAGTTCGATCCGACCCTGATTCTCACTTCCTCCCTGATTTTCTCGGGGCCTCAATTTCTTTGTTTAGTTTAGATCTAAAGAATCACGTCTCGACTAATGAACTTGTTTAATCCACACAACGTGCCTCTCAGTTGCTCCATAGGATACTTCAGCTTATTTACATGTTAATTGACTTTAAAAAAAAAAAGACAATTGGGTTTTTTTTTTTTTTTTCAATTTAACTTAGATTGAGATTAGAACCTCAAATTTTTTAATTCATTGATACACAATTTATACGAATTGAGGTATGTTTACGAGTATTAATTTTAAATTACTGTGACCAATAAATATGAGCCGGTATTCTCTTTCTTCTATCATTCTTCTCCTCTCCTTTCTAGAAAAATATATAATTTAAAATTCCTATCCATTTCTTAGAAATTTAGGTAGAAATTTTCTAGTATTTCATATTTAAACGCGTAAGATCATGACTATGTTTTCCATAGAAGAAGTTTTTTTTAAGCGATTTCAAAGTTCACGTTATCAATGATTTCATTGGGAGAGTTATATTTCCGCATTAGAGATGAGCATAAAACGTTCATAGTAACTTTGAATACGTGGAAATTTAGAGTTGTTACAATATATATATATATATATAAATAGAAAGAATATTAAAATATTCCATGGATATTTTTTTATTTAATTTTGATTTTTAATAATAATAATAATTTGGAAAGTAAAATTAAAAGTCAAAAAGTGTAAGAGTTTGGACCCTTTTTCATCATATTAATTTGAGTGTAAATCTTGTCACTCACACTAATGTGGATATACATCACTATGGGAGACTCTAAATTTCCTAAAGTATTCATTTTTTATTTATTAAATTATTAATTTTAGTTTATTTTTACGATAATTTTAATTTTAATATTATTCGAGTTTATTTTATTTAAAATATTTGAGAATAGAATTTCATATAAATAAATTATATTTTTGATTCGTTCTTAGTTAGATAATTTCTTTATTTTTATTAAGCGGAAAAAAGATAATATATCGTTTAGTGTGAACGGAAAGGTAAAGCGATTGAATAAAGAAGTGTGAAAAACAACCCTTCTTTTTCTTCATGTTAAAAGTCTATCTCTATCATAAATGTTTATAAAGACTTGACTTCGAATATCATGTAAGTTCAAGAACGGTGAAGTCTCGTTCTTAATCGCCTTTACTAGTATTTTCCCGTATTGAACTTGTTTTAAAAAGAAATTTCGAGTGTATGTGGAAAATAACTGCACAAAACTCGAAAGTTTAACACGTTCTTTGGATTTTTCTTTTGGAA